CATCAACCATGATTCTCTTAACATCAGTGTCAGCAATACGTAAAGTTATGACCAAAGCATCATAATGAGGAAAAGACAAACCGTCGGCATCTGACTTATCGAAGGTGATACTTTCTTCGAAGTCATCATACCGTTCGTGGGCGATTGTTCGCTTCAGTTTGTGCGAAGTGGTGAACTTTACATGGTTGATTGCTGAATCGTCGCCTCCTCCGACGATCATGTTGATGGTGCGTGTCGGCGAAGGCGGCTTTGGCGGCCCTTGAGGTTGATCCCGCCCTCGTGCGAAGTTGATCTTTCCCTTGTCGCTCAGTATCTCCCTTAAGTATCCTTGGTTCAGCATTCTGACCACCTCCTGCCGCAGCCCTATGCAATCTTCGGTTTTGTGCCCTCGTTCTTGGTGGAACTCGCACAGGACATTTGACTTTCTCATGGTGGGGTCTGATTTCATCTTCTGCGGCCATTGTACCTTGGTGCCCAGCTTCTCCAGTGCGTACACTATTTCTGAGGGAGACACACAAAAGTTATGGGCGGATAATAAAGGGGGCATACCTCTTTCATTACGGAGTGGGGCGACATGTCGCTGCAGTGCTTCTGTGTGTCTAGGCGGTGGTGGATGCGAGGATCTGACGTAAGGCTGCTGCCTTTCTTTGTTGAAGCGCGAGGATTGTTCCCGCCGGCCCTCGCTGCGTCGATCCCTCCTTGCTTCTGACTGTATTGTCGTGAGCCGCTGGGTTGGTCCATTGAGGTCATCCTCGTCGGCTCGTACCTCGGCACAGTAGGCGTTGTGGATCTCCTCCCATGTGGTGGGAGGATACTTCATGAGTCGGCTTAGTAGCTTTTTGGTTGCTCTCGAACCATCTCTGCTCAGCCCGTTTTGGAAAGCTGCGACCGCCATGCCTTCCGATACGTTTGGTAGGCTCATCCTTACTCTGTTGAATCTGGCCAGGAAGTCCCTGAGTCCCTCACCTGCGGTTTGTCGGACGGCGAAGATATCGTTGACCCTGGCCTCTGCTTTCTTAGCTCCTGCATGGGCGGTGGCGAACTTATCCGCTATTTCTTCGAATGTTGATATCGTTCTGGCTGGCAGCTGTGAGTACCATGTTAGCCCCCCCCCCCCCGGTCAACGTTTCTCCGAACTTTTTCAGCAGTACGGATGGTACTTGTTCCACCCGTCACAGCGGTCACATAGTGGATCAGGTGGTCTTCGGGGTCCGTCGTCCCGTCATATATCCTCAAGTAGGGTGGCATCTTGAAGGTCTTTGGGATCGGGTGAGGTGCAGCTTCTTCGCTGTATGGCTGTTCGACGAATCTTCCCACGTCGCGCTTTAGTAGTAACTTAGGAGCGCCGGGAATTTTGTCTACTCTTTCCTGATGCTCTTTCATCTGATCCCGAAGTGCCTTGTTTTCATTCTCCATTTCCTCTATTTTTTTAAGGATGGCTGCAAGTGTGCCATCGCTCGTCTGGCCATTGGTGTGGTTGTTGTTTGTACGTACAGTATCGTGTTTACTGGTGGTAGCGATGTCTGTCGTCAACGGGTTCTTAATGCTGCTTTGGGGCGATTTTTCGAGCAAGCTGCCTAGAGTGTTCGTCAGCCATTCTTCCAGTAGCTTCTTGACCACCGGGGGTGGTGCTTCTTTGACTGCAGACATGGAAGCCCCCTTTTCATGCATGATCGTCAGATCTTCAGATGGGGAGGGTGAGATTTCTCCCTCTTGAGTGTTACCAGGTGTTGTGCTCAAGATGTTTTCTCTGCCGGCCTCGTTGAGGGGGACCATGAGGTTGGTTGTGACGCCAGCTATTGCTTTCAATCTTGCGTCATTTTCCGCCATTTTTTTTTCGATTTCAGTAGGGTGTGAAGGAAGGTGGTCTATTTTTGATGTTCTAGGTGCAAACTATGATTTCGATTGCCGAAATCCCCACAGACGGCGCCAAATTGTTTGACTCAAAAGATACTAATTACTTTGCAAGCAAAAACAATCAAAATGAATCAAAGGTAAATCGTAATCGAATATAATTAGACCTAGAAATATATATTATGCTTGTGATTGTTTCAACAATCTGGATATTCGAAAGAGAGTAAGAGAAAGCTTGTTGAGAGAGAGAGAGAAAGAAAAGATAGCTTCTTATTGAAAAAATCCCCCTTTTACAACATTGGGATTCTCCTTTATATAACAAGAGAACCCCCTCAAAAAATAATAAAATAATACAGGGATAGGTCACGTGCTTTCGAGGAGACGACGAGACTCAAGGGCATACTTTCGCTCTGACATTCTTAGGTCGTCCCCTCTACTTCGGCTGTGGCTTAGTCGGGGGTCGTTGCTTACCATAGTGGGCAGAATTTGACCCCATACACAATAGCCATTGAAAGAGGAGGAAATTGATATTCTATCTATAAATACTCTATTTTCTGTCTATTGATATTCCTATTGCTGTCTTCAGAAATCTTGCTACTGTCTTATCTCGATTTTAACGCTAAGTCTTGCATTTTATTTAATTTATTTATCATTTTGGGATAACATCGATTTTCGTGTCTATAAACCACGTCATAAATTCAACTATACCGTTTTACGGGTAAATAGTTTGGCGCCCACCGTGGGGCTTATACGGTTGCATAATTGAGTTGATCCTTGCATCTATTACTATTCTATTTGATTCTTTGTTTCTTAGCAAGAAATCTTAAAAAATGGCAGATAACGATGTCAACATCGCACACAACGTTGAGGCCTAAGGAAATTCGCCTCAACACGAAGATACGATCAGTAATACCCGCAACGAGGAGGATAGAGCCACGTCGGACCATGGCTAGAAATATCCACGACACGTACGGGAGAACAACAAAAGGCTATCATGGGCCACTTCTCACAGCAAGACTAGGCCTTGACAAAATCGAGGCAAGTGTTGTTGGGGACTTCCGACAATGAAAATGGAAGAGGTCCAGTTACTCCCGGTGCTCCTGCAAATAAAACAGTGCAAAGGGTTGACAACAAAACCCCGAGGGGTGAGGTCGACTTCAACAGGGCCTGAGGGAACAACATCGAATCTGGTAACAATAACGGAAATGATCCCTTTAAAATCGGGGTTTATGAGGGAAATAAGTGCCCGAATGGACCAAATTCCGGACGCACTGCTAGTGTTGAAAGGACCGGACTCGAAGAAATACATCAAATTGCCGTTCAAATCGAGCGCGGCATCGGAGCTAATCCCGAAGTGGTTCAAAATGTCAGGCGAACCAAAATACAATGGGACTTAGGATCCTTAGAAGCACATCACCACATACACAACTGCAGTGAAAGAAAACAACTTAGCTCCACACGATATTGAGTCAGTTCTGCTGAAGAAGTTTAGGGAAGCCCTCACAAAGTGGGCCCTGGAATGATACTCACTTTTATCCGAACACTCAATAGATTCCTTTGAGATGCTCTCATATTCTTTCAGCAAGGCCCATGCTGGGGCCAGGAAGGTACAGGCCAGAAAGGCCGACATATTCAGAATTGTGCAAGGAGAATCTGAATTGGTGTGACAGTTCGTGACCAAATTTTAGAAGGAAAGGATGTTGCTACCGATCGTGCCAGATGAATGGGCAGCTGAGGCATTTACTAAGGGGCTGAACCCGAGGAGATCCAATGCTTCCCGGGTATTGAAAGAAAGTCTTCTCAAGTTTCAGGAAATAAATGGGCAGATGTACACTACCGTTACGAATCAAAGATAAGAATAGAGGATAACCAGCTCGGTTTCTTGGCATCAACCCAGGGTCGGGATCAAGAAAAGAACAAGGAGAAGTCGAAGGATGATCTCGACACAGATCGGCGCTAAGGGCCGACTTTTGCCATACGAAAGGGCCAAAGGACGTGGCAGTGGTTTCCGGCCGACGGACACGTTCGCTACTGATAGGAGAGCTGACCATGGCCAGAATAACAGGTCAATGCAGGAAAAAAGATATCAGGCTACCGGGGTTCCACCTACCCCAAATTGCCCGAGTATAATTTCAATGTCAGCATGGTGGAGCTGTCATCGGCGATGACGAACATTAAGGAAGCACTGTTCCCAAGGTCGATGAGATCCGATCCTATTCAGAGGGATCCTAATCTATGGTGTGAGTATCATGGCACTAATGGCCACGAACTGGAGACTGTCGACATATGTACGAAAAGGTGGCGACATTGCTGAAAAATGGCCATCTAAGAGAGTTCTTAAGCAATCGGGCGAAAAATAACTTCGGCCGCAAGTGAGATAACGCAGAGCCCTCGAAGATAGGAGAAGATCCTCCTTGACTAACGATCAACATGATTTTTGAGGGGAACGAGATTAATGGTGTAACCTTTTTAGTAGCAAAAAAGACAAAGGTTTCGGTGACTCATAGCAAGAGGCTCCGGAAAGTCGCCAAGGACGATATCACCTTCATGGAAGAGGACGCCGATGGACTTCTACTATCGCACAACGATGCCCTAGTAATTTCTCATAATATGAGATTTGAAAATTAAACGTGTTTTGGTGGACCTAGGAAGTTCAGCCAATATCATTCAATGGAGAGTGGTGGAGCAAGCCAAGCTAACCGGAAGCATCATTCCGGCTACAAAGCTCCTCGCCGGGTTCAACTTAGCAAGTGTGAAAACCCGAGGGGAGATGCCGCCCACAAACGCCGAAGGAGTCATGAAGACTACCTTATTTGAAGTAGTAAACGACGACATGGGCTACAACATTATTCTTGGCAGACCATGGCTACACGAGATGAAGGTTGTGCTGTCAACATATCATCAACTCATGAAATTCCCAATTCCAGAGGGAATTAAACAGATAAGAGGAGATCAACCGGCTGCAAGGGAGATGACCGCGATCTCGGTTTCTAGCGGTAAAGGGAAGGAACATACGGCATAGTAATAATATTCATTAAAAAAACATATAAGATCTAAAATGGAAGATAAATAAGATTTTCTGGGATCACAATCCAACCAAGTAATGCAATTTCATTGTCATTTATTTTTTTAAGTAAACATCATCAAATTAAATATAAACCTCATCCGCCAAAGAGGCATTATTTATTTATAATAACTAAGAGAACTCTTGCAAGGTTAATACTTGCCACCAAAACCGCCACCTTAACCTTTATGATTGGTGGAATCCGTTTTGAGAGCTAAACATACACAAAACCCATCAACACATGTTGGAAGCCCAGATTCACATGGCTGACGACAATCTGCTTTATTATGACAGTCACACTCTCCTGCTTTCACCACATCTGAAAGTTACAAAACTCGTTAGCATCTAGTATAGTCATAATTTTTTGGACGACATAGTTACATAAATAACCGACATATAACAACTAAAAGTGAAACAAACCAAATTCAAAGCTGGTGGATTCAGTTGCGGTGTAACTAAGTATACACACATTATTCTAATTTCATACCTATACATACATGGTTTGCAAATTGAAAGCATTAGGTGCCATCATCAAAATATGCTAATGTTATAACTTTATTTTGTCCATAAGTGACTGAATATGAGAAAGATTAAGAGAGAACGAGATAGGGTGAGCACGAGGGAAGGAAAGAGAGACCTTTATGAATGGTGGAATATGTCTCGAGAGCTAAACATACACAAACCCCATCAACACAAGTTGGAAGACCAGATTCACATGTAATATTACAATCTCCTTTACACTGACATTGTGCTGTCACCACATCTGAAGATCACAAAACTCGTTAGCGTATAGCATAGACATAATTTTTTTTGAGGATCTAGGTAGATAAATTAAGGATTGAGTGACTGAAAAAGATTGAGACTGACCTTGTGAAATGATAAAGAAGGCGACTACCAAAAATAGAGTCATCAAAGTCTTTGCCATCTTGTATAAAAGAATGTGTTTTGCGTTTAGAGTACTTCTGATCACCACATTATATAATTTAACGCCATTCCAAATTAGGAATTGTTTTTAATTTCAAATCTTGAACTTTGGTTAGCGTATCAAAGAAATAGTTTCATCTATGGTGGGTTAGTCAAAGAAGAATTAATGTCTAGTACTTGCAACATTACAATATATATCAAGATTTGATGTATTAGACGAAAAAATCTTCTTATGGATCTCATGCAAGGCAAGTTATATTTTGCTTTCATTTTATGTGAGTAATAACAGTTTATCGGGACTCTCCAAAAATATCGTCATATCGTATTCTCCAAAAGTGGTATATTTTTGGATGATTAGACATGAATACGATAATATTTTTGGAGAGTCCAAGCAAGGAAGGGTTTCTCTACTTGTACAAATAGAATATAGAGCAAAGAATATAGTCTCTGGGATGATCGTAGATAAAAAAAACTTATTCTCGCATGAATTACGGTAAAATTAAGTATTAATTAATTGGCTTAATTAAAAATTGTTAGTAATCTATATTTGTAAAACAATTCTAGAGAAAATAAAAGAACATAAACAGAAATATAAACGAAGTAACAAAAACCAATTCGAGCCCACTGAATTCACAGTGTTTCCTTAAGGAATTTAATCCCCTCCTAGTACCCAAGGTTATGGATTATTTCCTCCCAGGATAGAACGAATTACACACTGGTGTAGTGGTACTTCAAACCCCAGTGTTTCAGCGAACACAAAGTTTGGTAGCAAATCACACTTAGTGTTGCTTTGTTTGATGATTAAACTATGCAGAAGAAGGAGGAGAAACTCAGAAAATCGTATGGAAATTCTGAGCAGAATAGTCTTGTATTTATAGCCGAAGTTGGGCTGAATCTGAAAAGGTGCAACTCTTCAGAATGGCTGTTTATGCAAAACCGCCACAGCATAAATGCCATAACATAAATGGCTATTTACTCAACAATAAAGAGGGAAAATTGAAGAGGGTAGTTAATTTTCTGTTACCAGAACAGAAAAACGGATTGGATTTAATAATATTTATTTTAAAATTAATATTTTGTTATTAAAATAAATATTTAATAACATTTCTGTTAATATTTTACTATTAATAAATAAATTTGGTCCAAAAAATTAATCAATCAATCGATCATTTGACTAAATCCGAATCCGAAGCCGAAGCCGAAGCCGAAGCCGAAGCCGAGCCGAGCGACGATGACGACGACGGTACGAGGCTTGCCTTCTTCTCAACTCTTTAAGATCTAGAAGAAGATCAATTGCTTATATATCCATAAAAAATCTCTTCCTCTTCCAATATGAGACAATGTCCCTTTGCCAAGGGGGGAAACTTAAAATTTCACTCAAAAATTTCATTTTCCTCCATTTCCCATTCACCCTCTTTTAAGTATTTAATATACTTAAATACATAAAACCACAACAATCCCCCACATGAATGGGAATGGCTATATCACGGAAACATGCATGAAAAACTGTGTGATTCACAAGCAAGGATTAATTGCATCTGGATAAGTAGGTTTCCCTTTGAACTTTCCGTAGTGAACTTATGTCGGATATACTCGATCAATTGATAGATTTGATATCTTTGAACCGTAGAACTTTGGTGTATACCTAGAAAACCACAAGTCACACAACCAACCCTTAACCATCTTTGGTTCTCATTGTTGTGTTCGTTTCAACCATGAACACCGCCTGGTTTCATAAATGCATAGAGAACTGGCCTTGCAAGATTCTCCTTGAAGCGGCTAACACTTCATACTTACATAGGTGATTCCTAAACATGTCATCCCTTAGATACACCATTTGATATACTCTGTATCAAATTTAGAAATCATTAAAAAGCCTTAATGCTTTATCCTTAGTACTGAATATTGTCTCATCACGAGAATGGACCAAAAGTTTCGTTGACAATGTTGAACCATCATTAATGACTTTGTTTGATCTCCTTGAACCTAGATCTTGGATCTCCAGTCTTCTAGGTAGAGTTACCGCCACTATGACTTGTTCTCGGCCACAGTCCCATTCCCTTGATGATTTCTCAACTACCTCTCTAGTTAGGTCTTCTATAAGTGGATCCGACGCATTATCACTTGAATTTACATAATCAATCGTGATAATTCCTCTAGATAGTAATTGCCTAACGGTTTTATGTCTTCGTCGTATATGATGAGATTTACCGTTATACATAACGCTCCCAGCCCTTCCAATTGCTGCTTGACTATCGCAATGTATGCATGTTGGTGCCAACGGTTTGGGACAAAATGGAATATCTTCTAAGAAATTCTGAAGCCATTCAGCTTCTTCACCGGTTTTATCTAAGGCTATGAATTCAGCCTCCATTGTAGAGCGGGCAATACAAGTTTGTTTGGACGACTTCCAAGATACCGCTCCTCCACCAATAGTGAATACATATCCACTTGTGGACTTGGAATCAGTTGATCCGGTGATCCAATTTGCATCACAGTATCCCTCAGTGATCGCAGGATATTTACTATAGTGCAAAGCAAAGTCCTGGGTATGTACTAAATACCCCAAAACTCGTTTCATGGCCATCCAATGAGATTGACTTGGATTGCTTGTATATCGACTCAATTTACTTATAGCACAAGCTATATCTGGTCATGTACAATTCATGATGTACATTAAGCAACCCAACACACGATCATAATCCAATTGTGATATGCTTTGGCCTTTGTTCTTTGCTAATGCAAGATTCACGTCAATTGGAGTCTTTGCAACTTTAAAGCCCAAGTGCTTGAATTTTTCAAGTACTGTCTTAATATAATGAGATTGTGACAATGCCAGACCTTGAGAAGTTTTATGGATCTTAATTCCCAGAATTAAATCAGCAACTCCCAAGTCTTTCATATCAAACTTGCCAGTTAGCATGCGATTAGTCGCATTATGTTGGCAATGTCATTACTCACTATCAGCATATCATCTACATATAAGAAAATAATGACTATGTGATTTGGAACATTTTTAATGTACACACATATCACATTCATTTATTTTAAAACCATTTGACAACATTGTTTGGTCAAATTTCGCATGCTATTGTTTGGGTGCTTGTTTTAGTCCGTAAAGGGACTTAACAAGTCTACATACCTTCTTTTCTTTACATGGAACCACAAACCCTTCAGGTTGTTCCATGTAAATTTCTTCCTCCAACTCTCCATTTAAGAAGGCTGTCTTAACATACATTTGATGAATTTCAAGACCATAAATTGCAGCTAACGCTACTAACGTTCGTACGGACGTAATTCTTGTAATTGGAGAGTATGTATCGAAATAGTCAAGACTTTCTCATTATCTATACCCTTTGACCACAAGTCTTGCCTTAAATTTGTCAATAGTGCCATCATCTTTCATTTTACTCTTATTTATCCATTTAGAACCCAACGGTTTATTTCCAGGAGGAAGATCAACCAATTCCCATGTATGGTTGTTCAGCATGGATTCTATTTCACTATTGACTGCCTCTTTCCAAAATAATGATTCCGAAGAAGACATAGCTTCTTTAAATGTTTGAGGCTCATTTTCCAATAAGAAAGTCACAAAATTTGGTCCAAATGAAGTAGACGTTCTTTGACGTTTACTACGTCTTGGATCCTCCTGATTAAGTGTACTTTCTTTTGTTTCTTCCCGAGGTCGTTTAGATCCTTCACCAATCGACTCACATTCCTTTTTATACGGATATATATTTTTAAAGAACTCAGCATTATCTGATTCTATAACCGTACTATTATGAATGCCGGGATTTTTTGATATATGAACCAAAAATCGATATGCTTTACTATTAGTCGCATATCCTATGAAAACACAATCAACGGTTTCCGGTCCTATTTTTACCCTTTTGGGTTTAGGAACTTGCACTTTTGTCAAACACCCCCACACTTTAAAATAATTCAAGTTGGGCTTCCTTCCTTTCCATTTTTCATATGGAGTGGATTGTATTTTGCTATGGGGTACTCGATTTAGTATTCGGCTAGCCGTAAGAACGGCTTCCCCCCACAAGTTTTGTGGCAAACCAGAACTTATCAATAATGCATTCATCATCTCCATTAATGAACAATTTTTTCTTTTGTGGCAATCCTATTGGATTGGGGTGTGTAAGGGGCCGTCGTTTGATGAATAATTCCATATTCTAAACATATTTGTTCAAAAGGAGATTCATATTCACCGCCCTTATCACTTCTTATCATTTTGATTTTCTTGTTAAGTTGCGTTCAACTTCATTTTTGTATTGCTTGAATGCGTCTATTGCTTCATCTTTACTACTAAGTAAGTAAAATTAGCAATATCGAGTACTATCGTCAATAAAAGTTATGAAATACTTCTTTCCACCGCGAGATGGTATTGACTTCATGTCACAAATATTTGTATGAATTAAGTCTAAAGGATTTGAATTCCTTTCAAATGACTTATAAGGATGTTTAACATACTTAGATTCCACACATACTTGGCATTTTAATTTGTCACATTCAAACTTAGGGAATACTTCCAAATTAATCATTTTCCGCAAGGTTTTATAATTGACATGACCCAAATGTATATGCCATAATTCATTTGATTCAAGTAAGTAAGACGAAACTGAAATTTTATTATTATTTTCAACAACCATTACATTCAGCTTGAAAAGGCCCTCAGCGAGGTAAAATTTTCCTACAAACATTTCGTTCTTACTTATTACAACCTTATCGAAAATAAAAATACATTTAAAACCATTCTTAACAAGAAGTCCAGTAGAGACTAAATTCTTCCTAATCCCGGGAACATGAAGGACGTTGTTCAAAGTCACCACTTTGCCGGAAGTCATTTTGAGAAATATCTTCCCACATCCTTCAATCTTGGCCTTTGCAGCATTTCCCATAGAAAGCGTCTCATCGGGTCCAACAAGAGCATAAGTAGCAAAAGCTTCTCTAACAGCACAAACATGGCGAGTGGATCTAGAATCAATACACCATTTTTTA